CACGCCAGACACGTGTGCGTGCGTGCCCAAGATCCCGAGAGGAGAATGGAGGAGAAGGATTGTGGTGTGGCCATCCCCGCTGGGGGGTGATTTCTCGCTTTCTGTCTTTCTGTCTGTCTTTCTGGCAAGCACACATGCCCTATAACAACCCCCCCTCCCCCGACACACACACACAATAAAAAAAGAAATAATCAGGGCTGTAAATACTACTACTATTACTACCCTGTTATAGGGCAGGCCAGGTGCTGTTCTGCGCCCTACACGTAAATGAACTACTTTAATCCTATGACCTATGAACTAGGTACTATTTAATCTCGACTTTACAGGTAACAAACTTGAGGCACAGAGAAGCTATGTAACTTGCTCAGGGTCACCCAGCTAGTGATAAGCATCGGAGTTAAAATGAAAATCCAGGGACCAGCAGGTGGCATGGTTGCTAGACTCCACATGGCTGATACGGCGGTTCGAGTTCTAGACCTGGTACCTGTGTGCATACTCCCAGAACCTTGACTGCCAAGAAGAGGGGACTGTGGCATGGCCGATTCCTTGGGGGATGATTTCTCACTTTCCCTCTCTCTGTTTCTGGTGAGCGCACTCACACTGCAGCAAAAATAAAAATAAATAGATAAAGTTCGGGCAGTCCGGCTCCTGAGTTCATGTCTTCACCTACTCTGTTACACTCGTTCTCTTATGTTCTCTTCCAGCTTAGGTTCAGAGTTCATTAGTCTTGGAAAATTGGGAGCAGTATGTGATATTTTAAATTATGGCTCATCGGTAAGATGTGGTTATTACAATGTTTTAAAAAGTATTTCATAAATATTTGCCTATGACATTCATTTCTAAATGAAAAAAGCAAGATTCTACATATGATTCCAAACTTACAACGAAGAGAAATATATAAAACCAAAAATACAGGGCCTGGTAGGTGGTGTGGTGGTTAAGGGCACTGGACTCCCACATGACCAACCACTGTTCAAGTCCTGGAGCTGGAGGCTTGCTTTCTCACTTTCCCTCTCTTTCTCTCTCTCTGGCTCCGTCCCTCTCTGGTCAAATTAAATAGGCAAATAAATAATAAATAAAGTTAAATAAAATAATTCTTTTTTTTTTTTGGAGAGGTTTTTTCGCTATAGGGCGCGTGCATTCACCAGACAGACAGAGAGAGACAGAGAGACAGAAAGCGAGAAATCACCCCCCAGGGAGGATGGTCACGCCGCAATCCCTTCTCCTCCATTCTCCTCTCGGGATCTTGGGCACGCATGCACATGCACCCGGCTTGAGTTTTAAGCCACTGGGTCTGGGATGCGAACTGCAGTCGACTACGTGGGAGTCCAGCAACATAGCCATTATGCTAACTGCTGGTTCCCAAAGAAAATAATTCTTAAAAAAAAAACCCTAAACTTAAACTAGAGGACTGGGCCTATAGTACAATGATTAAGGATACTGGATCAGAGACCAGCAGTTAGCGTAATGGCTATGTCGCTGGACTCTCATGTAGTTGACCGCGGTTTAAGGCCCGGACCTGGTGGCTTAAACTCACTCTGGGCACATGTGCGTGCGTTTCTGAGATCCCGAGAGAACAGAGGAGAAGGGATTGTGGCATGGCCATCCCCCTGGGGGGTGATTTCTCACTTTCTGTCTTTCTGTCTCTCTCTGTCTCTCTGTCAAGTGCACATGCCCTAACACACACATACACACACACACACACACACACACACAAAAACACCTCTCCAAACCAAAACCAAAACCAAACAAACAAAAACAAAACAAACAAACAAAAAACAGGATCCAGGGCAACAGGTGGCATAGTGGTTACAGTGCTGGACTCCCACATGGCCGAGTGCAGTTGAAACTCATGCCAGGCGTGTGTGTGTACATGTGCCTAACATCCCAGAGGAGAAGGGACTGTGGCATGGCTACTTCCCCTGCGGGGGGTGATTTCTCATTTTCTCTGTGTCTCTCTGAGTTTCTGGTGAGTGCATGCACTCTACAGCAAAACTTTCTCTTAAAAAAAAAAAGATGGGACA